GACTCGTTAATAAGGTCATAAGATCATGGAAAATTTGCCTCCCTTTTATACATCAAAAACCGAAATATTCACTTCGGAGAACGCTGTATGAGTCGATTAAGATATGTTTGAATTGAATTTCATAGGCTCAGGTAAAAGAGAGATCGCAGTTGGTCTACTATAAGCAGTTTTTTGTAAAGCAATAACAAAGAAACTCCAGTATTCGATGTTCTAAGTCAGCAAAGCGCCCTGTGACTAATACAAATTTGCTTAGCTGTTTAATTTTTATTTCCACCAGATGAATGAACCATCCAATTCAACGAATGGACCATCTGAGACATAGCTTCAAACAACATTTCAAAGAGATAATGTTCAAAAAATGAAGGCCAAAGAATGTTTTTTCGAAGGATAATAAACATTTCCCATTAAATTTTTTTTTTTTTTTTGTGTTAAAAACGTGGGGAACTTCGAAGTGGATCACCCTTTAATACAATTTATTTTTAATTTTAAGTAGTTGGTTATTTTATAAATTAAACTTATTTTAAAAATTAAACAAGAAAAAACGTTAACTTCGGCTGCACCGAAGCTAATATACCCTTCACAGGTGCATTTCTTTTAGTAACTATGTGTTTAGTTTATATGGAAGCTATATGCTATAGTAATCCGATCTGAACAATTTTTTCGGAGATTAAATTTTTGCCCTAGAAAATAATCAGTGCCAAATTTCGTGAATATATCTTGTCTACTGTGAAAGCTTTCCACACAAGAACTTGATTCCGATCGTTCAGTTTGTATGTCAGCTATAAGTTATAGTAGCCAGATATCGGCAGAAAATGACATTTGCAAAATTTCAAAACGATATCTTAAAAACTGAGTGACTAATTCGTATATATACAGACAGACAGACGGACATGGCAAAATCCACTCAGCTCAACATACTGATCATTTATATATATATACTTTATAGGGTCTCCGACGCTTCCTTCTGGGTTTTCCAAACTTCGTGACAAACTTAATATACCCTGTACAGGGTATAAAAATGATGTAAATATTTTACAAATAAACAGTTTGTTAAGAAAAAAAAATCAATGTTTTTAAAGCAGCTACCAACGACATGCATTTTTATAATCCAAAAAAATTTAGGTTTTTTATTTAATAAATAGTTTTTGTTTGTTAAAAATGAAAAAAAGAAATCAAATATTTTACGTACGAATTTATTCACTTATAATCAATTTATTTACTTAAATTTTTATGCAAAATATTTGATTAACTATTTTTAATTTCAAAAAT